GCCCCCGCCCCGGCCCCGGCCCCCCAGCCCCGGGAGCTGCCACCTGGGAAGCAGTGGTTGCTTGGAAGCCCTGGGAGGCAGCTGAGGGCACAAAGGCAACGTTTATCCTCGGGGGGGCTGGCAGGGACTCGGGCCCCGGGGGCAGGGGCAGGGCCTCGGCTTCTCTCCCACTTCCGGGAGGTTTTCCTCTTGAGAAGAGGGCCCTGGACAGCTCCTCAGGAGGCCTGCGTAGCTCTTGGTCGGGCACCAGGTGGCTGTGCGTGCGACCTTGGCCAAACCCCTGTCCGGCTCCTTGCATCTTGCCGGCCTGAAAGCCAGGAGGGAGGACCAGGTGATGCTAAAGACAGCGGCTTCACGCGCAAAGTGGAGGATCCCTCCTCCCCCACGCCAGCCCCGTGACTCCCTGGGTTTGGGGTTAGTGGGAGCAGACACCAGCCCTCCCCTGTCTATCTTGCAACTCAGCTCCAGCCTGGCTCAGGACTTACTTGGGTGCACCTGCTGTTGCCTTAGCAGCGCCTTAGCACCTGGGCAGAAATTCTAGGGCTGGCCACCCCGCTCTGCACTGCCTTGAATCTCTCTCTGTCTTTGGGAGAAGGGAGACTGGCCCGTTGTCTGCCCCAGAGTCAACTGGGTCGGGCCCAGGTTCTGGAGGCTCCGTGGCTGGGCAACTTTCCATTGTGGGAAAGGATGGGGGGTGGCGGCGCCGGTGGTGGCGGCTGTCTCCTGCCGTGGCAGCAGTGGGCAGGGCCTGGCCCTGGGAAGGCTTTGTCCCAGGCCAGGCCTCCCCCATGCCAGGGAGGCTGGAAAGGGCGGCCTCAGAGTTTACTGCTGACCCGCAGGGGAAGTCGGGCAGAGAAGGGATTAAGTGGTGATTAAACCGCAAACCAGGGGCCCAGCGGGGTCCTTGGTGCCTGCGGTTTGGATGAAAACTTTTCCCTGGGAGCTGCTTTCCGGGGCCGGGTCCCTGCTGACCTAGGCGAGGGGCAGAGGTGGCCGGTTCCCATTGGTCCCCTCCCGAGCTGTCCTGTAGGTCAGTGACCCGGGAAAGGTGAGTGGCTGGGACATGGAGCCTGCTGCACTACAGGGACGGGGAGAGGCTGGAGGTGGGAGTGGCCGGCCTGCCGGGTCATTGTCCACCTGCCTTGTTTGTCACCACCTGCTTGTGCCTCCTGGGACCGTTCCCTCTCTCTGGACCCCTGGCCTCCCTTCCTTCGCCCACTGCCTGTGAAGTTCTTGGAGCCCACCCTGGAAGCCACTGTGCTATGCAGCCACGCGAGAGCGCCCTCCTCCTGCTTTCTGGTCCCCTCCCCCCGCACACTGGTCACCTGCCAGCCCAGCGGTGTGTGTGTGTGTGTGTGTGTGTGTAAGACCACCGTGAGAAGACCCTGGACTCTGGACTCAGGCAGGCCCCAGTCTGCATCCCAGCTCTGCTGGTTACTGTTCGACCTTGGACTTGTGACTCAGCCTCTCTGAGCTTTCACTCCTTCATGTCTAAAATGGGGACAGGGGTACCCCTAGGGGCTCTGAGTGAGGAGTGAGTCCAGGGCCGAGATCAGCGCTGGGCACGCGGGCAGCGCTTGGAACCCAGAGTGCCTGCTGTGACAGCTGGCTGGCGCGCAGCGGCCTGCCCACTGCACTGGGCTGTGAACGCGCGGGCCACAAGGCAGGAGCAGGGTCTCTCTCCCTTCCCTCCTCTTCTCCAGGGAGATAGGGTGGGCCACGCCGCACACGGTGTCTGCAGAGTGGAATCGGGCTGGAGAGGGGTCCAGCCCAGGGGCCCCCGCTCACCCAGCTGCCTCTCCCTACAGTTTCGAGAGAACGTCCAGGATGTGTTGCCCACCCTGCCGAATCCAGATGACTACTTTCTCCTGCGCTGGCTCCGAGGTGAGGGAGGAGGGGCTGCCGGGGGCGGGCTGGGGCGGGGGGCTTGTTCTGGGGCACAGAATGCCACCCCCTGAAGCCCCTGCTCGTGGCGACGTCAGCCCAGGAGGCGTTCAGCAAGAGAAAACCTCAACCCTCTTATTGGAGACTCCGAGAGGTGAAGTGACTTGCTCCAGGTCACACAGCGAGCAAGTCCTTCCTGTCCACTCCAGAAATCTGCTGTGCTGATGGGCTTGGGGGAGCTGGCTGGGGAGTAGCCAGTCCAAGAAAGGCCCCAGCCGTGTGGGAAGTCAGAGCCTGGGAGAGGCCGGCCCTGTGCCTGCCCTGCTGGGGTGGCCACTCCCCTGCGGCCAGCAGCAGCCCACTGGACAAGTGGGCAGTGTGCATAGGGCAGGGGTGGCTCAGGGCAGGCTCAGCCCAGCTTGGGCTGACAAGGCTCTGCCGCCACCAGGCTCCTGGGCCCTGAGCTCTTGTTCCAGCTCTGCACCGGTGTGGCTGTGGCACCCGCTAGGGGCCGGGCTCCTCCCCCGAGAGAGCAGGCTGACACGGGCTGAGAGCTCTGTCCGTGGCCGGGAAGCCCACACGTTTCTGTGAGCACCAGGGTCGCGCTCAGCCCGGTCCCCCAACTCCTGAAAAACCCTTTCATCCTTTCCCTTCTTCTCTCCGGTGAGTCAAGTCGATGCCAGCCTCCCCGGTTCTTCTGACACACTTTCATTGCTTATTTCCTTTGTAGACGCTTTATTGCCAGGCATCAAAATCCTAAAAAAAATGTCCCTTAGATGAACAGAGCTTTGTAGTGATGTAGACTCCTGCCCCCAAACATTAAGGGGTAAATCCTGCTCTTATTAATGACTTACGGACATGGACACACACACACACACAACATGCATGCACACACTTACATATACACATGTACTCACATACACACACATATACACATACATGCACACACATATACACACAAACACGCATACACACTCACATTCACATACTCACATATACACACATGCACACATTCACTTATGCACACATACACACATACACACATATACTCACATATACACACATGCACACATTCACATATGCACACATACACGCTCACACACCTGCAAACACACATGCACACACTTACATACACACACTCACATATACACACATACATGCACACACATATACACACAAACACACATACACACTCACATACATTCACACACACATATACACACATGCACACACTCACTTATGCACACATACATACATACACACATATACTCACATATACACACATGCACACACTCAGATATGCACACATACACACACACCTGCAAACACACATACACACACTCACACACCTGCAAACACACATGCACACACATACACTCACATGTACACATACACTCATGTACACACATGCACACACATGCACACACACATACACAT